GAGGCCTGTGACCAGGCTGCAAACTCCAGCTCCATGACCTGTTCAGCTAGCCATGTTCCCATGGCAGGAAGGCTGGTGGAGAAGCTATTGCTTCAGAGCCAGCCCACCACCTGCCATGTGGGAGCAGAGATTTGCCTCACACAGCCTGGACATGGTGAAGGCAGGATATCAACCAGTTATTGATGTCAGAACCTTAAAGTTGGTCTCTGGATTCTTGGGAATGGGCCACAACCCAATTTTGGCCTGGGACCCCAGTGAATCCCACAAACTGGGTCCCTGCCACCATCCACCCCCCAGGATTCTTACCCATTCTAGGATGCCATCTCTGCCCCCTAGCACTACGCTAGTGTAGCTGGGGGCCTTGCCCACTCCAGCACTAGAGATGCATGTGGTGTGGTCACAGGGCTCTTGGGGTTGCAGCCAACCAGCACTTCCTCTGGTAGACGTCTCTTTAGTGCCTGTGGCATGTAGGGTCTTGGCTTTGTGCACAGATCAGAGCAGAGATGGGGAACTGGTGCCATTTGGAGCATGGTGGCCCCCATACCTGGGAGACATGGCTCTGTGAGAGGGCGGGCAGCCCCAGAACCAGGCTGGAAGCCGGGCCTAGGGTGGTGTGACCCCATACAGAACGTTTGTCACGGGGAGCAGAAAAGAAAAGATATCCCCAGATCCCATCACATCTCACAACCATTTCCATGGTAGCATCTCTTCCTGTGAAACCATAAGGTTGTAATTTGTTTTTGTGCATTACATTGGCTGCCATTTTCCATGTTCATGCACAGACTTTATGCCTGCATAATGTTCCATCCACTGGATGACCGTGGCTTCGCCAGCTCCCTGGTGCTGAGCTGTTGGCTGTTTTCACTCGTTTGCTGTTATAAGAAATACATATCCTTGTGTGTAAAGGTTTTTCCACATGTGGGACTGTTTTCTCATGGCAGTTTCCCAAAAGCCAGATCACCAGATCCCAGAGTGCTTGCTGCCTATCAGTAGCCAAGGGTTTCAACAGGTCAGACACACTATAAACCCAAGTAGGGGTTGTCCTCTGGGACTTGTTTCCTGGGCTGGATTCAGTTTTTCACTACATATGTCTCCAGTGTGGATTTGGTCAGGAAGAGAATTCCAGGCCAGAGGAACAAACCCAGTCTGCTCCCAGAGTCCCCCCACAGCTGGGGGGGTATGGAGAGAGGGTTCTGAGGGTGAGGTTGGGCCTGGCTGGCCCCCACTTCATGTTTCAGTCAGGGCCACCTTCCCAGGGGCTTACACATCCTACCCAGGCTCTGAAGTAGGTGGGGACACAGGAAGCTGGGCTGAAAGGGGAACTGGCCTTGATATGTCCAAGGGGAGAGTCTAGACGGACCCAGAGGCCCCAGTGGCTCATTCACTGAGAAGCACATGCAGGTGCCCATGAGGCACCACACATTGTTCATCAAGAGAGACATGGTCCCACCCTCGTGCACCAGCTGCCTCTGAGCAGAGGCAAAAGTTTGAAATGTTAGTAATCCAGAACTACCAGTAAGAGTGGCCAGGAGAGCCAGTAGCGGGCTGTTTGGCTTACTCAGGGAGGTCAGAGGAACCTCCCTTCATTGCAGGAACCGGCAAGGCGGGAGCCTACAGAGTTGAGGGGTGGGATGTGGGGGCTGGGGGCGAGGTACAGGCTGGAAGGGAGGGGAAGTTGTGCTGAGTCTTTAGGCCACAGGTGAGAATTTTGGCCCCTTTTCCTAAGAGCTAGGGGAAGCTGTCAGAGGATTCCAAGCTGGGGAGGGTTACAAGACCAGATTGGATGTCAAATGTCAGTTTGTTAAATGTCAAATGGCTGCTCAGTGGAGAATGGCTGGTAGGGGAACCAGAGGGAAATGGAGAACCTGTTCAGATGAGCAGGCGACCCACAGGTGTCCTGAGGCCCCACTGGGAGCCAGCTCTGCGCTCAGCATTCCCAGGGGGACAGAGAGATGGGCTGGATATTAGGACCATAGGTGCTCTCTGTTGCCAGAGGGGTCCGTGAGGCACCATGTCCAGGACTCAAGGTCACTTGGCTGGCATCCTTACCTCACTCCAGTGGAGCCAGGAATGGCCTCTGGGCAGTCAAACACTTGACTCAGGTTTGGCCTGGCTCAGCTAAATTCTCGGCACTTTACCACTACCCGTTACTTTGCACACACTTCTAACTCAGCCTATTACTGGGTTGAAATAGCAAATTAGAAAGTGTGAGGGCTGCTATGAGTGGACCAAAGGCAACAGGGAGGCGTGACTGCACATGCCAAGGGAAAAGGCCACAGAATAAACATCAGAACACAAATGGCATGTTTGTTCATTTAGGAGAGCTCAGCTCAGGAGCGAGTGGGAAGCAGAGAGGATGGTGTGTTCAGAATGCAATGCAGAGACTAGCTTGACCAGAAGAAAGGACTGGGGGCCTTGAATATAAAGAGACTCCAAAGGTCAGGGAGGTCTTGAGAGACCAAAATCTTACACATTTTCCAAATGTGAATATGGATGAGACCCCTGGAATTGGCTCACCTGAATGGGCAGCAGGTCCCATGGATCGGCAGTGGCTGCTTCCAAGGGAAGCTGCTGAGGTCTCCAGGTCTGGAAGCGAGGGATGCTGACCTGCGACCCGACCATTTGGAAGCTTGTCCTGTTCAGCTTGAGGTGGCATTGTGGTGGTGGTGGTGGGTGATCAGCTTGAGCAGTAGGGAACCTCCCTCTCTCTCTTCCTCCCCACAGTTACCTTCCTTGAGCCTGGAGAGACCAAGGGTCTTCCTGGCTTTCCTTCCACAAAATGTCTCCCAGGACTTTGGCTGGGAGGCCCAGAACATCTGATGCCTGGAGAAGCCAGAGGAAAAGGTGGGAGGTGGGGGGCGAGGACGGGCATGGGGTGACTTTCAAAGGGAATTCCTTGTACAGTCTATCCCCTTGATCTTGATTGTGACCTCTCAACAGCATTTTGGGGTTCATAAACACTCCACTCTGTTAATCCCCACTAGCACCCCTGAAATGGGTGGGCAGGTATAGGTGGCTTCATTTTATATGTGGGGAAACTAGACCTATGACACCTTTTATCTGAGCCTTAGTGCTCCTCATCTGTAAAATGGGCAAAATAAAACCCTCTCCCAAGGTTGTAGTGATTCAGAGAGATACAGAGCATAAAGGAGATTGGCAGCCAGGGCATGGCAGCTGCTCAGGAGATGGAGCAGCTGACCCTCATAAGCACAGGAGTCAGGATTTGATCTCAGGCCTTCTGCTGCCAAGCCTGATTTGGTAGCTGTTCCACCTTTCTGCCTTGCTTATGAGAAAAAAATCAGAGGAGAAGCTGTTCCCTTAACCCCCAAGTCCCCAGAGCCAGGCTTGAGTGCAGGCTTGTGAGCCCCAGCCCATGCTGGCCCCCAGATCTGCTGTCCCAGGAAGCAGGATATCAAGTGATATTGAGGGTACAGCCAAGAAGCCCCCAGCCCACACCCAAGTCAGACCTGGCTGACCTGGCCTGAACACTTTGGTTTGAAAGGAGGAGGTGGAGGCTCAGAATGCCCTTTGACAGCATCTTGTGGGCATGTGCTGAGTGCCCAGTGTGTGCAGGATGGCCCGCTAGCCCCGTCTTCCAGAAGCATATGGTCCAGACAGAGCGGGGAGGGAGGCGGCCTGTATTCTTCATCCATGGGGTACATCCACCTTTGAAGCAGCCAGTGTGGGGGCGTGTCTGATGGAGACGTGGTTCTTTGTGCTCCACCACACTGCCTTGAGTCCACACATGGCGACACCACCACAAGTGAGGCGATTACAGGTGACCAGGGAGTATTGCCAAGAGGGCTGTGAGGCACTGGTGCAGGGGGCCAGGAGGGCTTCCCGGAAGAGCAGGCTTGCCTGGGCCTTTTTCTAGCAAGCGCAGGTTGAGAGCCTGCCTGTGCTCCACCCAAGCCCTGGGCTAGATGCTGCGGAGGCAGGTGTGGGAGGCACAATCAACCGCACATGCAGTTGAAGATCTTGAATGCCAGGCCAAGGGGTCAGCTGCTGACAGGGAGCCCTGGAGGATTTTGAGTGGGGGACAGAAGGGTAGTATCCTAGGCAGCATTGCCTGGTAGTGATGCATGGGATAGAGTGGTACAGGCATGGGAAAACTGAGGCAGGCAGGCCAGTTGGGTAGTCTGGGACTGCAGAGGCAGGCTGGACCAGTGCTGGGCAGTGAGGAGGAAAAACAGATATGTGCAGGGGTGACTGGCAGAGCAGAAGCATCAGAGGGCACCTCTTGGTCAAATGTAGCTCCCTGATGCTGGCTGGGTCCCAGGGGTGCCTCCTCTGTGACTGTCCAGGCAGCTGGTGTGCGATGGCCATTTTACTTAGTACCAGCCACTGTGTTCTCACGTCTGTGCTGGCCAGAGGTGCTGAGCTGCTCTGGCCTCTCGCCTGGGCCGTCCTCCCCACTTCCACCCCCCCAACACCCCCACCGCAGTCCTGGGAACCTACCACCCTGGTTATCCAGGTGAGAAGAAGCCTTAAAGAGCTCTCTGTCCCTGCAGCCCCCTTGGCCTGGCCAGAATCCCTCTCTGCCATTCCCTCCAGGAGCCTTCCAGCTTCTGTGTGTGTGTGTCCTTAGTGACAGGAAGCTCCTTATCTCCCAGCCCACTCTTCCAGTCCTGCTCCAAGTCCTGGCTGTGGAGCCTCCTGTGCCCATAGGCACTTCTGGGTGCTGAAGGATGGAGCCCTTGAGAGGAGGCAGGATCTGTCAAAAACCCAGGGGGGGCAATAGAAGCAGCCTGAACCCAGCCAACGCTGTCTGGACATGGCCTGGGTCACAGAAGCTTCCTGGATGAGGTTCAGGGAATAAGCATGCCCCTGTGGATGAGACATCCATTTGTGGAGAAATTTGGAAGCCCTCCCATGTCACCACTAGGCAGCCTGAGTGTGGTGCTGGCCCTTTAAAACAGATCAGGGGCTGGCTTCTGGGGCGAAACATCCCAGGTTTCTGCCATCTGCTTACAAAGCCTGAGACAGGAAGGGGGGCCGTCCCAGCCCTGACTGGGGCATCGGAAGGGCAGGTGGAGCCAGTGGCATTGACTGCAGTAATCTGAACCTGAGGGGGAGGCAGCTACGACAGCGCCAGAGCTACTGGCCAGGAAGAAGCTGCCTGCCGCTGAGGGCTGGACCCGGGAGAGCTGGGGTTGGGGCAGGTCGGCAGTCACTGCCTTCTCTCCTGGCCCATCTATATTTAATGAGCTCCTTCGGCTTCTGCAGTAGACAGGACGCAGAAAGGCAGGCCTGGGCAGTGAAGGCCCAAGGCCCCAGCCCTGCCCTGAGCCCAGGCCCCCCATCCTTCTGGGCATGAGAAGGTGGACCTGGGGCCCCGTAGCCCCTCAGCTGGGCAGGGTTCTCCATGCAGCTGGTGCTGAAGATGGATTCGAGCCCAGACAATGACAGCTGGTTGGAGGATCAGTGGGAGCGCTGGTAGGGAATGTGGAGTCTGGCTGGGGGAGCTGTTGGGGCAGCTCCGGTGAGCTCTGGGCTTCTATGTAGTCTGGTGGCAGTGAGAGGTGGGGGTGTGGGCCTCCTAAGTTCCCCAGGGGGCTGGATCACCACCTCTCCTTGGTGACCTTGGACTAGTGGGTCTCCCTTGCTCTATGCCTCAATCTCCTGGTCTTATTTTGGAAAAAGCTCAGAATTCTCCCCAATCTCTCCAGCAGAATTCTCCCAAATGTCCCACTCACACCGAACAGGACAGGTGGAGTCCCCAGGGCTGGAGGCGAGCAGGTGCAGGGGGCAGGCAGGCAGACACAGCAATAGCTGGCACAGCCCTGTGCTCTGGGGTGGGGCCACATGGGTGGCCTGCGAAGAAAGGGTTCTAGTACTGGCAGTTAGAATTACAGCGCTGAAGTGCTTTGGTCTGCCTCCTGAGCTCATGACATCCCAGCCTGAGGCTACCCCTGACCCCATCCACACAGCCTCCTATTCAGGGTCTGTAGGCTGGGCCAGGCAGTTTTGGGTTAAAGAGGTGAGATCAAGAACACAGAATGGGGGCATAGTCTGTCCTGGAATGGGCTGAAACTACCCACATCTGCTTGCTCCCAAGCCTCAAGAGGCATTGGTCTTCCTGGGCTGGGACATGGCTCACTCCTCTGAGGCTGGGGAGGGCCTCTGCCAGCACCTTGGGTTTTATTGCTGCAGGAATTACGCAAGGAGGCCTCCCCCAACCCACCACCTCCACCTCCACCCACTCCAACATCACTTGGAGTCTCTTCTCAACTTTGTGTTCTCTGTGGATGAACTGGCCATGGTACCTGCCTTGACCTGGGAAGCATTTCTCTGGCAGAGCTGATGCTCTGACCTGCTGGGCCTTCTAGGCACTACCTCCTGGTTGGCAATAGGATGAACAGCTCCCAGCTGGGAGGAGCCTCCCATCCCACCACTACCCCGGGAGGGGGTATGGTGGCATGAGTCCAATTCCTGCCTGTTATTTACCCCTTGCGTTGGTGCTGGTGGACCCTAAGTCTCATTCTTTAGGAGCTCTGATCTGCTTTTGAGGGGCTGCCCCTTGGAAGAAGTACTAGGGAGATATCAATGGGCTGAGCAGTCCCCCTGTGTTGTAACTTTGGCTTTCTGTCCCTACCAGGCTCACCCATGACATCAGCCTGGAGGAGTTTGAGGATGAAGACCTCTCAGAGATCACCGATGAGTGTGGCATCAGCCTGCAGTGCAAAGAAACCCTGTCCTTACGGGTAAGAGCTGGCTCCCAGGAATCCCTAAGGCAGGATGGGTAGGGACAGGAGTGAGGGCATCCCCATATCTACAAAGGGGCTTTCAGGGGCTATAGGGAAGCCACATTAAGTGAAATAACATGCAGGAAACGTGCAGGAAGTACAATGCTTGGCACATCTTGGGTGCTAGATCTCAATTTTTTTTTTTTCGGCTAGGGGCTAAGTCTGGAAGCAACTCCCTCAACCTCCCACAAGAAGGAAGAGCGGGGGTGGGGTAGGGGGGAGGTCTTGAGAGCTAGGATAGTAGCAGTTAGGGCCAAAGTTAAGGGATGGCTCAGAACTACCCTAAATCCTTTCAAGAGCAGCCTTGGCAGAGGGCAAGAGGCAGAGCAGGGTGGAGTCTGCTGGAGTATGCGGGGCTTTGGGGCAGGAACAAGAGCCAAGGCACTCCCTCAGCTGCCACTGCCCCAGACCAAGCCTGACATCTCCTCTGGCCCACAGTCCTGAAGACCCCTCTGCAGGGTTAACAGCATCACTGCTGCTCTGGGCTCCCTGGCTTGGTCATGCGACAGATGCCCCCTCTATCCCTAAAGTTCTGAATCTTGCTAAGAGGTCCTTAGCATATGGGAGCCTGAGGTAGACAGGGGTCCCCAATGTCTTCAGGACAGGAAGAAGGGGCCACTAGCCAGGAAATGGAAGGTAAAGCACATGTTTAGGTTGCTAAGCCCAGAGCTTCACTCAGGCCCCAGGAGGGTGTGTGGCCAAAGTAGGCACAGTATTAGGAGAATGGATAGCAAAGGAGAGCTACATTGTGAGTTGGGATCATGTGCCTGTCTCTGTGTTGACCTCCTGTTGGCCCCAGAGATTCTGTAAGCTCTGCCAGGCAAGAGGAAACCAATACCTTAGACCCCAAACCCCACCCTCTGGCAAAGCCAGGAAGGGAAGGAAGCAGAGGCTATTTATTCTGGACTTGGGAGATGGTCCCAGGACCCTAACATGGTCTGTAAGGTCACGCACCTGTCGGGATAACCACACTGCCCTCCCTAGCAACATGAACAAGCAGGCCTTGGAGAGAGTGGTCTCTGCACCCAGGCAGTTCTAGCTACAAGTGTCCCCTGATTCGCCTTAGACAAGCTCCAGGGGGCTTTCACACACTCTTGCCAGTGAGTCCTCGCCTTTCTGGGAAGCTGGAAGACAGTTAACTGGTGAGAGAATTGGAGGTACAGGGGATCCATCCAAGATGCCAGGGAGTTAGTGGCAGAGATGGAACTAGAACAGGACTCTGATTATTAAGGTGAGGCTGGCCTGAGGGAAAATCTCAGGTAGAAGGGGTCTCGGCCTGTGGACACAGGAAGGTGGGTGATCCCACTACCTCATCCAGGTGCCCCCCACCCCACCTGCCGCTCCCACCATCCTGTTCAGCCATACCCAGGTTCTCCTGTGCGCACTGTGCCCCTCCTGTAATCCCTCGCCTGGCTGAGGCTGTTTTCCTAGTCTTTCTCACAGACCCCTTCAACACAAATCTACCCCCAGACCAATCAATCCCTTGTGGGGCCCCAACTCCTTGGCGACCCTGCGTCCCCATGGCAACAGCGGTGACCTCACTCTGGGCTCGGCTTACAAACCGGGGTTAGGTCACCGGCCATTACCAAGGGAACGGGAGGGTGCAAAGAGTCTGGAATGGGGAACCGTGGGGAAGGGAGAGGTGTGCATTGTGAAAGACACGAATTTATTCTGGACTTGGGAGATGGTCCCAGGACCCTAACATGGTCTGTAAGGTCACGCACCTGTCGGGATAACCACACTGCCCTCCCTAGCAACATGAACAAGCAGGCCTTGGAGAGAGTGGTCTCTGCACCCAGGCAGTTCTAGCTACAAGTGTCCCCTGATTCGCCTTAGACAAGCTCCAGGGGGCTTTCACACACTCTTGCCAGTGAGTCCTCGCCTTTCTGGGAAGCTGGAAGACAGTTAACTGGTGAGAGAATTGGAGGTACAGGGGATCCATCCAAGATGCCAGGGAGTTAGTGGCAGAGATGGAACTAGAACAGGACTCTGATTATTAAGGTGAGGCTGGCCTGAGGGAAAATCTCAGGTAGAAGGGGTCTCGGCCTGTGGACACAGGAAGGTGGGTGATCCCACTACCTCATCCAGGTGCCCCCCACCCCACCTGCCGCTCCCACCATCCTGTTCAGCCATACCCAGGTTCTCCTGTGCGCACTGTGCCCCTCCTGTAATCCCTCGCCTGGCTGAGGCTGTTTTCCTAGTCTTTCTCACAGACCCCTTCAACACAAATCTACCCCCAGACCAATCAATCCCTTGTGGGGCCCCAACTCCTTGGCGACCCTGCGTCCCCATGGCAACAGCGGTGACCTCACTCTGGGCTCGGCTTACAAACCGGGGTTAGGTCACCGGCCATTACCAAGGGAACGGGAGGGTGCAAAGAGTCTGGAATGGGGAACCGTGGGGAAGGGAGAGGTGTGCATTGTGAAAGACACGGACTGAAGTCGGTAGGAGGTGGTCTCGCGCATCCTCCTGGAGGGCGGGCGTGCGGGCGTGGCCCTCTCGCTGGGCCCCTACCCCGTTCCCTGTCTACCCCTCCCCCGTTTGGGGGCGTGGAATGGACTCGCCCGAGAGGTGGGCGGTGCGCGGTGGCTTAGGCCCCGCCCCGCCCCCGCCCCCTGACACCCCTCCGTCCGCGCCGCTCAGCCCCCGCGCGCCGGACTCCTGTCTGGGGGAGGTGGCGGCGCCGGGAGCCGGCTACAGGCAGAGATGCTGCAGATGGACCTGATCGACGCGGCGGGGGACACTCCCGGCGCCGAGGACGACGAGGAGGATCGCGCGGCGCAGCGGCTGGTACCGGGGCGGCCCGAAGCCGAGCACCGCCAGGAGCCCGCTCCGCGCAGCCAGAGCCAGGGCCCGGGCGGCGGGGACACTTACCGGCCCAAGCGGCCCACCACGCTCAACCTCTTTCCGCAGGTGCCGCGGTCTCAGGTGAGGTGCGAGCAGGTTGGGGCGGGGTTTGGGGGGCGGTGCCCTAGGCCTGGGCCCGGGAGGTGTAAGGAGTGCCAAGCGCCTCAAGGCCCGGGCCGGGCGGCAGGGTGGGAACGAGAGGGGCTGCGGGGGAGGGACGTACCTGTCCTGCGTTGGGAGGTCTCCGGCTTGATGAGACTTCAAAAGGCTTCCTAAGAAGGAGGTCCCTGGGGAGGTGGTCTCGGAGGGCAGGTAGGATCTGTCCTAAGGGAGAGTGGCCCGGTGGAGTTGGCCTGGGTTTGCAGGCCTGAGAAGGGGTTGAAGGAGTGAAGGGACTGAGAGGGACAGCGGAGGGACCCGGGTAAGGAGACGCAAGAGATGAAGAGAACCGGCCTTTGAGAGTTTGCAAGTGTGTGGAGGTTGGGTCCTCAGGCTGTGGCAAGATCTCCCCTTTTGGGTATGGGGTTCCGGGTGAAGGTGAGGTAGAAGCAGGGCCTGGAGACAAGATGTCTGAAGTGGTCGGCATGGGGGAAGGTCAGGGAAATTGTGAAGAGTTGGGGATGGAGTGCAGAAGCAGCAGCCAATTTTAAATGTGGGCAGCTGGGAATTCCCAAAAGGCAGGGAAGAGAAACAGGAGGTGGGGCTGCTTGGCTAAGTTAGGGGCCTTGGGCTCTTGGGCTAGGTGGCTGGATGCCGAGGGTTGAATAAGGTGAAGGAGAGCAGGCTGTGGTCCTTTGTCTTCAGGCCCGATCAGGAGAGAGACTGAGGAAGCAGCTCAGGGAGGTGGTTGGTGGAGGGTGCAGGGGCTGCAGGGAAAGCACTGGTGCTTTTCCCAGGATCCTCTGGGGTGCATTTTGGCAGCCAGACTCATGAATGTGAGGGCCTCTGTGGTGTTTCCAGGGGAGGGGGCCTAAGTTTTGTGTAGGGCCTTATATATAAGCATTGTGGAGAGGAATCCTGGTGGGTGGGGGCTAAGAACATCGATGGGCAGCCCAGAGATCCAGGGAAGAGGGCTGCTGACAATATATCTGTCATTCCTCAGTCATGTGCTCTTGGGGAGTGGGGGAACCATGTTATGGGATTCATCATTCACATGTTTCATCCCAGTCCCCAGGCCAGTTGCTGGGGAGATCCTTCCTCAGGCTCTACTAGTGTCTTTGCCTATAGCCTCCCGAGAGCCAGAGAATTTGGGCTGGAAGTGAACATCTTTCATGTAAACCCTCAGTGCTTGGGACTGGTTGTCTGGCTATGTCCCCAGACTGTTAGGGCTTCTGTTCCTCCCCTACTCACCGCACACACTGACCATTACCACTTTCACTGAAGCTGATAAGAGGATCTCCGTAAGTGTTGACCAGCTTTCCTGAGCCAGGAGGAAAGGCTGTCTGCAGCCAGCAGCCTGGCTAGGAGGGCTGTGTCTTGCTACCACTCCTGTCTGCTCCAGAGGAGGGTTAGGGGTGAGGCCCTTGGCAAGCACTGGGGAGGATGCAGCAAATGGCCTAGGGATGGCCTCATGGGGGCAGGGCCAGGGCCTCCCTGTGCTGGGCACTGTTGACTGGTTCTGTCACAAGAGCCTTTTGTTCCCTGCACAGGACACATTGAATAATAATTCTCTGGGCAAGAAGCACAGTTGGCAGGATCGGGTGTCTCGATCATCCTCACCTTTGAAGACAGGTAAGTCAGGACTTTTTCCCTTATGGACCTTCATGTGCCCACAGTCCCCACTGCAGAGAGCAAACCTAACAGTCTCCAGCTTGCTGGGCAGAGGTAAACTGCCTGTCCCACAGCCCTGGGCGGGCCCATCTGAGGTCACTTGTAGCATGAGAGGACTCACCCCAGAGCCCGCCATGGACCTGTTGCCCCAGGGAGGCTTTGTCATAGTTTCTGTATCCACATGCTGAGTAGAGGGAGCAGGCAGGTAGCCTGGGAGTCAAAGGTAAGGGCACCTGCCTTCAGCACTGAACTGCCCACTCTCCAGTAGAGCAGACACCTCCACATGAACACATCTGCCTGAGCGATGAGCTGCCACCCCAGAGCAGCCCTGCTCCCACCAAGGACCGAGGCACCTCCACAGACAGCCCTTGCCGCCGCAGTGCTGCCACCCAGATGGCACCTCCCAGTAGCCCCCCAGCTGCCCCACCTAGTGGCCGGACCCATTTGCATCGAGACCGCATCCACTACCAGGCAGACGTGCGGCTGGAGGCCACTGAGGAGATCTACCTGACACCTGTGCAGAGGCCTCCAGACCCCACAGAGCCCACCTCCGCCTTCCTGCCACCAGCTGAGAGCCGGATGTCTGTCAGTTCTGATCCAGACCCTGCCGCCTACCCCTCAACAGCAGGGCGGCCACACCCCTCCATCAGTGAGGAAGACGAGGGCTTCGACTGCTTGTCTTCCCCTGAGCGAGCTGAGCCACCAGGTGGAGGATGGCGGGGGAGCCTTGGGGAGCTGCCGCCACCTCCACGGGCCTCACTGAGCTCTGACACCAGCGCCCTGTCCTATGACTCAGTCAAGTATACGCTGGTGGTGGATGAGCACGCACAGCTGGAGCTGGTGAGCCTGCGGCCATGCTTTGGAGACTACAGTGATGAGAGTGACTCTGCCACCGTCTATGATAACTGCGCCTCTGCCTCCTCGCCCTATGAGTCGGCCATTGGAGAGGAATATGAGGAGGCCCCCCGGCCGCGGCCCCCAGCCTGCCTCTCAGAGGACTCCACACCTGATGAACCTGATGTCCACTTCTCCAGGAAGTTTCTGAATGTCTTCATGAGTGGCCACTCTCGCTCCTCCAGTGAGTCCACAGTGGGGAGCTGTGGGGGGCCCAGGTGGGGAGAGCCAATATGAGGATGTTCCAGAGAGGTTGGCCTCAGGCCCATGCTGTTCAAAGTGTTAGGACTGAGGGCTGGGGCCACCCTCCTCCAGCCCGTGCCCTTCAACTCTAGGTGCAGAGTCCTTCGGCCTCTTCTCCTGTGTCATCAATGGGGAGGAGCAGGAGCAGACCCACCGGGCCATATTCAGGTAAGAGCACAGGGTCTGGGGGACTGGGCAGCAGCTGGGACCACCCCCTCCTTGCTTCTACCATCAGTGCATGGCCTAAACACAACCCCCACCCTCCAGCCTCCACCACTGGCATGCATTCATTCACTCAGCCCCAGGGTTACAGTGCCTACCTTCTAAGAACTCAGAGTACGGTGACAGAGTGGATGGTTTCAAAGCAGTGTGGCCTTTGCTGTGCTGCTGGAGCCCAAGACTGAGCACCTAACCTGGCCAGGGGCAGAAGCCTTGAAAGACACCCAGCAGAGATGATCCTGACCACACACAAACCCACATTGCACCTTCCTCCCTTGGCCCTGGAGTTCCTTGATGGCAGATGTGTGCCTCATTAACATCGGTCTCCTCCAGAAGCTAGCATTGTGACAGTCACTCAGGATGCTTTGCAAATGTTTATTGAACCAACGTTGCTTATATATCTCACCATTGCCAGAGCAGGGTGGGTAGTGGATGGATGGCCTGGCTGGAGAGGCCCTGGTGATGAATTCCTCACTCGCTCTTGCTGGGAACAGGTTTGTGCCTCGACATGAAGATGAACTTGAGCTGGAGGTGGACGACCCTGTGCTGGTGGAGCTGCAGGCGGAGGACTACTGGTATGAGGCCTACAATATGCGCACAGGTGCCCGGGGCATCTTTCCTGCCTACTACGCCATTGAGGTCACCAAGGAGCCTGAACATATGGCAGGTAGCGTTCCTTCCCTGCTACCTGGTGCCACCTGCCCCAAGTGAACATATGCTCCAGATTCAGCCACTTGGGGAGGGGGCCAAGCAGAGGTAACATTAGGTCCATTTCACAACTGAGAAAAATGAGGCCAAACCATGTTAGGAAATCTGTGGATTGTGGCCCCCTCTGATGGCTCTGCCTTCTCACTTCCTGCTTGCTTTCCAGCCCTGATCAAAAACAGCGACTGGGTAGACCTGTTCCGGGTGAAGTTCCTGGGCTCAGTCCAGGTTCCCTATCACAAGGGCAATGACGTCCTCTGTGCTGCTATGCAAAAGGTACTGCTCCCTGCTCACTTTGGATGGAGCAGCCCAGTCCCTGTCTTCTCCTGGGGAGATGGACATCCAGATCTTGACATCCCATCTCTTACCCACAGATTGCCACCACCCGCCGGCTCACCGTGCACTTTAACCCACCATCCACCTGTGTCCTGGAGATCAGTGTCCGGGGTGTGAAGATAGGTGTCAAGGCTGATGACTCCCAGGAGGCCAAGGTGAATGCCCCAGGCATAGCCCCTGACTCTCCCACCAGATCTCCCAACTTGTGTCCCTCTGTAGACTGAAAACCACCTTTTTCTGTTTTCCCTCCTGTAGGGGAATAAATGTAGCCACTTTTTCCAGTTAAAAAACATCTCTTTCTGTGGATACCATCCAAAGAACAACAAGTAAGTGGGATGGGACAGAGGTGGAAGCATGGAGGGGCAGTCTGGGGCCCTTGTGGCAGGGTGTTATGGCAGGATCTGGGTCCTGTCCTGCCCATAGCAGGCTACTGTCCCCACGCCCAACAGGTACTTTGGATTCATCACCAAGCACCCCGCTGACCACCGGTTTGCCTGCCACGTCTTTGTGTCTGAAGAATCCACTAAAGCCCTGGCAGAGTCTGTGGGGTATGTATGTGTGTGTATCCTACCAAGCACCTGGCCTGGGAACAAGCCCCAGCCTCAGACCATGGAGCACACGTCTCATGCTACCCATCATTCTCTGGGGCTTTCCTACAGCTGTGCACACTGCTCTGTGGTCTGGAGATAGACCTGGGTGGTCTTAAGGAGTGGCTTTCAAACTTACCGGCTGCTAGTTGAAATCTTACTCAGTAAACACAGTTTGTAGAGACTGGAGCTGAGCAGCTCTGGCTGAGAGAACTGGAGCCCCTGAACCCAAGGTTTGAAAACTGTGGGTAGAGACTCCGTTTCTCCCCAGTCATCCGTGTGTCTGCCTACCTCCTAGGAGAGCATTTCAGCAATTCTACAAGCAGTTTGTGGAGTACACCTGCCCCACAGAAGACATCTACCTGGAGTAGTAGCGCTGACCACCTGCTCCATCCCTGGGACCCTCAGCCAGTGCCAGGACAACTGGCTGCTCACAAGAAGTGTTACCACTTGAGGAGGGGCGCCAGTCACCACCAGAGGATGGGGATATGGGGGCCTTTGGCCAAGGGTGGGGGAGGGGAGGGGTTATTATAGGGAAAGGCAAATGCAGTTTATTGTAATATATGGGATTAGGTTTGTCTGTGGAGGACACAGAGGGCTGGAAGGGGTCAGGCCTCCTGCCAGGAAAGATGCCCATCTGAGGAGCAGTCCCATCTTGGCCTCACTTCCCTTGCCAGGCCCTCTGGCTCTCTGGCTAATGGCTCCTGCCTTGATGAAGCTCATGCCACCACGCAGTACCCACCCTACCACCTGCCCCCAACTTCCAACCCTGACTGAGGGCCTTGAGCTCAGGTTGAGCCCAGCCACCTCCTGAGGACTTTCTAGTAAGAAACAGCCACAGGTGGGGTGCAGTTCTGCCCAGCTCTGTCACTCGTAGCTTCTGGATGGCTCCCATGCAGGCCCCTGGTAGGCATGGGGTGTCACTGGGGAAGGAGAGCTGCAGCAGGGCAGGCCCCACCCTGGCAGGAAAAGGCGGCTTCTGGACTGGCCCAGGCTAACCAGGGCCTCTTGGCTGCTTTAGCTGTAGCCCTATCTTGGTCACATCACCCCAGCCACAACTATTAAAGTGCCATTTCCTTTCTGGATCGCAATGGGTGTATCTACCTGGATCCCCTCCCATGCCCAGCTTGCTACCATCCCAGAAAACCCAAGCCTTTGCTGCACAGAATAGCTTTATAAGGGGTTCCCATCACAGGTGTGTGTCGTAGAAATACTCAGCCATGTCTGGCCCATCCCGCTTGTGCTGCTGGGCCCTGGAGAGGAGAGGTCGAGACCCCTGTGGCCATGGGTGCTTGGGTCGAACCCCATAGTCTTAAAGAGAGAGGAAGAGGTATGGGTGGGAGAATCTGGTTTTGAATCCACTGAAGTCACCCCTGAATTGATGCTGTTTGGGGATGAGAAGACCCTAAGGCTAGACCTGAGTGCCTTTGCCTGGGGCACATCTCCATTAGATGGGGCCCAGAAGGGGAGGTCAGGGGAGGGGAGGGATGAGAGATACTACCATCCTCCAGACTGGAAAGTGGCTGCAAGAGTTCCAGGGGGGCTGAAAATTCCTCAGGAACAGACTGCTGAGGCCTGTGGGAGACTTTGGGGACTCAGCACTAGCTCCAAAGGCCACTACCAACACCCAAGACAATGGTGCCAGCCTGTCATCCTGGGAAGGGAGAGACAGCACAGCAGACCACCACCCTACCCGCCCCAGGTGGCCCCACTCTTCTGCCTCCAGGAGTTACCTTAGTGGCTGCGGGCGGAGGAGTGTAGCTCCCAGGATGAGGTAGAGGAGGAAGAGGCTCAGCCTGGCCCTAAGATACAGAACCCCCAGCATGGCCAGAACCATCTACTCAGGTCCTTGCGTCTGGCTTCTGCCTGCCCCTCCCCCAGCAGGAGGACGGAACTGGCAGCCTGCTCTGTGGCCACCTCACAAAGGGCATTAGTTCCAGGGCTCAGTGTCAGCACCAACTCCATGGCTAGTCCAGAAGTCTCTGTGCTGAGGTTTCATTTTTGTTTTATTTTACTGGCACTGTAGGCCAACAGGTGCCAAATCTTGTTCTAGTGTCAGTGCCCAAGGATTAAGGGCAGAGACTTTTGAGTCAGATCTCAGTTCAAACCCAACCTTGCCTCTTGCTAGGTTGAACTCTGGGGGCCTCTTTCCTCATCTGTGAGATAAGGTACATGCATAATGTGCTCAAGGTTTGGCATTTAATAGGTCCTCAGCAGAAGTCAGGGTCACGGACTCCTCACCACCCACAGCCTCATCCATTCCCACTCAGCCTCTTCCCCACCTCCTGCCACTACCACCACCCCCTCTCCTGTGACATCTCAATAGTCCCAGGAAGGTCCTGCCAGCTGAAGAGGCGTGGTCTGCTCAAAAGAGCTCACTCTGAAAGACTTCCCCATTTAGCTCCTTGCAGCTTAGAACAGCCTGGCTTGGGCTCCACAGGCCCTGCTGCCACCCGAGGTTAGACAAAAGGATTTCAAGTAAGGTGGCAAAGCCTGGGACCCACACCCCTAGAGTGTAAGCTTTCCAAAGGACAGGAACTGGTTCACTGAAGGATCCCCCAGCACTCAACACCTAGTGGGTGCTCAATAAATGTTTGTTGAACGAATAAATGCAGTGTGACAGTATGCTGGAGACCAGTTTTGGCAGGCCTGAGGCATAGCTGTGGGGCCTTCCATCTGGTTCCTTCCCAGACCCTTGTCAATGCCGTGCAAATCTGTCTCATTTCAGAAACATGCAGGCTCTAAACAAACCCCTGGCACCACCTGAGAACTGTGGGATCAGAACCCCAGGGCTGAGCCTAGGATCTGCACTTCAGAAACCCATTTGCTCCTAAGAACAGACCTACTGGGGTCCAATCCCCCTCCTTTAACTGCTGAGGTGCCCAACCCCAGAGAGGGAAGTCCCTTATTTCCAGCCTCGCTCATGATCGTATGTAACCCCAAGGCTGACAAGTTCTGGCATCTCCTTCAGTCTATAGTCTTTCAACACTGTGCTCTAAGTCCACATGTGGATTTCTCCCTGATCATCTCCCTTTCTCTGTCAACACCACCGACTCCCAAAAACCTGTCTTAGCATCCTCTGTCCCCACCAAGGGTCACCCCTGCTGGGACACTGTCCAACTCCAAACCCTTGTCCTTCAACCTCCTGCCTCCAAGATGCCACTCTCTATCTGTCTATCCACAACCAGACCCAAGGCCTGCCTGGGTTAAACTTCAGCCTCTCCATCCCCACTGCCATTGCCTTACTTCAGCTCTGTCTACTGCTACAAGTCTGCTCTTGCTGTCACTGCTCCCATCCTCCATCTCTGCCCACCACCCCGCACCAAACTTGGATGAGGTTTAAAACAGGCCTTTTGCCCACTGCCTCCCAGAGGCAGGTCCCAGTTTCCTGCCTGGTATGAAATGGCCTGCTTCCTTTGGCCCTAACCTTCCCTCCTAGACTTACCCACTTTGTTCCCATCCCTCTACTCCTGCCCTAGCAATGGCTTCACTCTGCAGTGACGTGCTTATTGTTTTCTATTCACACATGGCCACCTCTACCAGCCTACCCAATAAAAAACTGATGTCTTACCAGTTTAAAAGCCTCCTTGAATGGAGGCTTCCCTGACCAGTGCACCCTCATCAGTCTAGTCAAGCAAGCACCCCTGCTTGCCCACCTGCAACAGAGACTACCTTTGGTATCCACTTTTGCCCACTGCAGGGATGTGCAACATTCACATATTTACACATAGTCTCCACTGGTCAGTGAGAGCACAGCAGCAGGGGACTGTGCATTTCTCGTTTCTTGGCACACGGCATGAGGCAGAGCCACTACAGAGCAAGGGCCCAGGCAATGCTTTTTAGACTCAATTGAAGCCAAGGGCCTCAAGCTGTGATGACTCGAAGATTCCTTGCTGGCCCAGGATCTTCTCAGAGGCACTTGGGCAAAGCAGGAGGCTGCCTCCCAGGCTGGCCCTCTACCCAGGGTGCCCAGGAGTGGATGCTGTGCAGGTGCAGCCCTCTCAGAGCTTCAGGGACCACCCATCTGGCTAGAAATCCTAGCAGAAGAGTGTCTGCTCACAGGGCAAAGGGAGCAGGGACAGAGGTTCAGGAAGGGGAAAAACCAGCCTGAGGGCACCAGATCTAGGGCCCTCTTCCCTCCCCAGTGGTATTAATGGCTTCAGGCAGATTTGGCCACTGGCGAGCCAGCCAGGGACAGTGTTGAAACCCCAATTTGTACCCCAAACCTGCACCTTTCTCCCAGAGCCTCAGGCTCTCCTCCTCTCCAGCTAGCCTGTCTTTCTTTTCTTATGAGAGAAAAGCCTGCTCTCAACTAGGAGTTTAGGGCTTGAGATGCCACTCCACACTGAGCTGGCCCCCATTCCTGGAGCCTTGGGCAGCACGGCCCTGTAGGAGGAAGGACCAGAGGCTCTAGCCAGAAGATCCATTGCCCAGGTTCAGCCTTATTTGCCATCAAAAGGGACCAGTGACAGAGCAGCGGAATTTAATCCCGCAGCTGCTATGACACGCAGCTTTCCATGCTCGATAAGGTTAAATCCCAGCCTTCTTTGTGGCTAGAGAAGCCTGGGTCCCAGTCCTAGTGAAGGTTAGTCAGCCCAGTGGCAAGGCACAGGCTGCTCCATCACTGGAGGGTACAAAGCCAAGAAGTGCTAGGGAGCTCTGGTGGCAACCAGTGTGCAGAGCCTGGCTAGCGTAGGGGTGCCAGGCATCCTGGGCACGCAGAGGCCACATGCTTGGACACTGACAAAGACAGTTTTATTAGGGCAGAGGGGCCCAGGGCACTAAAGGGCTAAGGTACCCCTGCCCATAGCAGCAAAGCACACTATCCCACCCCTCCCCACACCTCACTCCCAGGATGTCTTGTCAGCCCCAACTGTAGAAATAAATTTTCTGCCAGGTAGGCAAGTAATCCATGAGCGGCCCTGCAATGAGAGAGAGGGGAACAAGGTCAGGGTTGAGGGCCAGACTCCAGTCTGGTTCTGTTCTATCCATGGCCGTCCTTAGCCACTGCCACTCAAATAAACTCACATCCACACAGCCAGGAACCTAACCTACTCTCCCACCTCTTCACCACTAGCAGGAGAGCAATGGCAGTGACCTTTGTCCCCATTTACAGACAAGGACTCAGGCTTGGAGAAGCCACTTAGTTTGTCCAGCCATAGATGCTGACAGCCCTGATCTAGCAGCTCTCCATTGAGGCAGGGCTCTAAACAGTCTAGTAGGTCTCCTACTTCTCCAGGATACAGAGGAAGGACAGTGTGGTCTAACTGCCCACAATGGATACCCTCCTTCCAGCCACGCATGAGGCTCTATGGGCCAGCCAGGCCCACACTCAGGAACCTGACCATAGAGCTTCCTCACCCAACTGTGCCAAGAATCAAATCACAAGGATTACAAGGAGACAAAGAGAAAAGAGGGAGAAAGGGCCATGCACAAGATCTGTGACACTCAGTCATCATCATGCCCCTGCTCATGCTTACTTGTGACCAGGCCAATGCCCGGGACGTGGTCTGCCAGCAGCTGGAGTAGGAAGAGGATCCTGGCCCTGCAAAGAGGAGGTAAACAGGGAGCAGGCTGGGTAAGGGGCCTGAGTCCCTGCGAGTGAGGGTGCTGAAAAGCCTTCTGTGACCATGTGACTAAAAGGTAGTGCATCCGTGACACTCTGCCACTAGGAGAGACCCTGACGCCAAAGGCCGAGACCTCTGGTGGAGCTCTGATCCTGCCTTCCCTAGCCACAGGCCTGGGGTGCTGGGGCTTACAACACCCCATCACAGACGCCTCCTCCCATCTCTCCCCCATGCCTGCCCTTCCTTCCACTGAGCCAACACATGCCTATGGAGGGTCATGCAGAGGGCAGGGCCAGTGCAGGGAGCATGAGGGCCCAGAGGGGAGGACAGCCCCACCCTGCTCTCCTTGAGAGCCCAAGTCTGGGAAAATTGCTGAACCACACCGAAACCTCACATGCCAATGCTGAGAGTTGTCAGGGTTCCAGAGGGAGACACAGCCTGAGGAGGGCATGCTTTTGGCTCAGAGGAAGGGGTAAGGGCCTCCCTTTTCTCTAAGAAAATGGGTTTTCTACAGAAGAACCCACAGTGAGATGATGATGATTTGAGAAGAAAATGATGATGCAATGTGACGTGCTTTAAGTGCTTACTCTGCCAGGTACTGTCATATGCAGTAAGCCATTTAACCCCTATAACAGGCCTGGTAGGTGGGTACTATTACGTCCCCATTTTATGGGTTAGGAAACAAAGCACAGAGGCGTTCAACAACCTGCCCAAGGTCACACAGCTGAAAGGCAGCCTAGCTCCAGAGATAATCCTCTCCCTCTGACAGTAAGAAAAGGGGAACAGAAGACTGCTCCTTCACAGATGGCATCCCATAGTTCCTCAGCACCCTGCTCCCTGTCCTCAGGGGAAACAAGGAATTTCTCTGACAGGTTTCTAGATGCTTCTCAGTCTGGACCTTTGCCTTAAGGGTGCTAGGTTGGTCAGGTCAGCAGGAGAGTGAGCCATCCTAAAGGCTTGCAGCCTGGGAGTCACCTCTGCAATTCTGTCACCTCAGAATTCCTTAGTTCCCTGAGTTACTGGGGTGACAATGTTTCCTCTGTAAAGTACAAGTGATTTGTGGGGAGAGGTCATATGATTCATTTAAGTATCTGGGATGTTTTCTCTGGAATATGGAATAAGATTAGTACCTTATGAGCTTTTGAACTTATCTGAAAATAGGAACTCCAGGCAATTATGTTCACTGGGGTGGTATTAAATATGACCTGTTTGCTTTCTGTTGCCTCAGAAAAAAACAGATTGTATGGCCATAATGTTCAATGCAATTCTAGTTAATACTCCAGTCTTTAAGCAGCGTACTTGCTGAGACCCAGTCACCGTACAGAGACCTCTCCTCAGATCTGGGTCTGACCTGTCACCCAGGCAGGCCTTTGGGAGACTTGGCCCAAACCAGCTCCCACCTGCCTCCAGGAGGCCTCTCTGTGTCTGTCTGAGGCAGAGAGCTCTCTCCCTCACAGGTGACACACTAAGGGCTGGGCAAAGTAGAGACAGGCCAGCAGAGAACATGCATGTGGGATCTGATTTTGACCCTGGCAGTTTAAACAAAGCCATCCAACCTCTCTGAGTCTCAAGTGCCTTGTCTGAGCAGTGGAGATAACCCAAACTCTTTGACAGCAAGATGTGCAGATCAGCCAGAGGGTGTGGGAAGTCTGCATGCATCACCAGCCCCCGCAGCCCTGTCCTTGGTGTGTCTGCTGCCAACAAACGCATAAGCTCCTGAACATGGGCTGATGGCCTCGGGAGCTTTGAGGGCAGGCTGGCCTGGCCCCCAGTAAATAAGGGTGTGGCTGTACCACAGAACCACACACAGTGGGTGCTCAGTGAACTGTGGATGAGGAAGAAGCGGGGAAGGAACAGGCATGGACAGGGGTTGGAGAACCAGTGCCCCACCCTGTTCCCTCCCTCAGGCTGAGGGTGGGCCACGCCATCCCTCCACAGGGGCTGGGTCCTTACTCAGAGAAGTGGTCATAGAATGGGGAGCGCAGCAGGTAGTAGAGCAGTAGGATAGTCCGGCGCCGCAGCTCCAGCTGCTCCCTCCGGGTCAGGCCCTTCCTGTCACCCAGGAGGCTCAGGCTGGGGGTAGGAGGGGACATGGTGAGGGCCAACAACAGGAGAAGCAGGGGCCCCTGCCTGCCCAGGTGAGGACAGGCCTGCAGCACAAACTGGTGAAGGGCGAGGAGCCTCCAGGCAGGCTCAGGCTCACCTGGTCACATCCACAACACCAGATAGGAGCCAGGGTGCCCACGACCGCTGACCCCATAGGCCCAGGCTAAGCACTGATGGCCAAGGTGTCAAGGATGTCTCCAGCACATGGCCCACTCCCCCACCCCACATCTGTTCCCACCCAATGCTGGCCCCACCCCATGGTAAGGATACAGTGCAGCAGGGGCCTGGCAATATACAGGGACTCTGCGATGGTCTCCTGCAGCCCCAGTGGGGTGGGGGTGACACTCAGCTCCTCATGGCGCTGCTGCCGTCGTCCCTCCCACTGCTGGGGGGCTCCCCAGTGCCTTGAGTGCAGGGACGGAGCTAGAACACAAGGCCAGCAGATGAGCAAACTGGGGTGGGGTAAGGGTGCAAGCTGGGGCAGGAGACTGGCAGCAGTGAAAGCCAGGCCCTCAGGGCCCAGTCCAGCTACACCCTGTACTTACTATTCTGGAGGGTTCGCACTACTCGGTTGGAACGTTTCCCCACGTATGACTGATCCTGGCTGCCAGGGCTGCGGTCACCATCTAGCAGGGACAGACAGAACGACCCACTGTCAGAGGATTATGTTTCCAGCAAAACCTAAAAGAACATGTGTGCAGTGAATGTTCATGGGCTAAGGGGTGCATGAGCTTGTGCTGAGGCAGCAGCTGAGTCAAGGACACTGTAGCCAGAGGTTGTGGCTCAACATTGGAACATTCTACAGCCCTCCCTGGCCTGTGGGAAGGTCAGCAGCACCAGTGGCAGGTCAGCCAGCCAAGAATCCTGGCTTCTCCAGGGCCTGAAGCAAAGTAGGAAAGCCCAGCCCAAACACCTCTATGGACACCATAGTACCATAGGAGCCATGTCCTCTCAGATCTCTGCTGTCCATAACCATGAGGAGAAGCAAAGAACTGCCCCCACTCAAGGCCAGGAGAGTGAGACCCAGAGGCCACTATGAGATGGGTCCTGAGCCCTGAAGGGACATATTTGCTGGGTGCCCTCCCTCATGAAGCTGTGGTTTGATACAAAATAAAGCCCAGAGAGAAGGACAGTAGGACCTTTGTCGCCTGCTGATGCTCTGTCCCTTCTTCCTGCTGCCCACCCAAAAGAAAGAGGACTCTGACATCAGAAGTCCTGAGTTCAAGTTCTGATTCTGCCCCTAACCTAATCTATCTTCTTCTTCTCTGTAAAATAAAGGGTGATGAGAACAAAAAAAATGGGCTGATGGGGATAGATGTGCTCCATAAATGGACAACACTGTATTCAAGTCAGTCAGCTCTAAGTCCACAATTTAGTCCCATGCCCCTTCCACTCCAGAGCCCGGAAGCAGCTTACTCAGTGAGTGTGCCTGGGTGTCCCTGTCCAGTGGAATGATGGGGGGTGAGGTCTGGAGGCCAGCTTTGAACCAGATCAGCAGAAACATCCGTAGTACACACCTGGGTTGAGAATACAGCAGGCTGGGGCAGGGGTTGGGGGTGTTCTGCTGAACACCACCTGTACAGCTGGTCTTGGTCACCCCCACCCAGGGCCTACCCTCCACAGTCCACACATACTTGGCCAGCTGGATGAGGGCGATGGCGAGCCACTTGCCCACTTCGCCCCACACCTTGGCAGTCCCCATCTCCATGAACACCTCCACGCACTCCAGCACACTCAGCCACATCAGCAGCTTCTGCTGGGACAGTGACTGCAAGAATCCCAGGCCAAGAAGTCAGGAGGAGCTCCCCCTAGTCCTAGCCCCCATCCCCCCAGGGGACTCCTCTGATAGGAGATAGGGATTGCCCTCTTTCTGAGACTAAATGTGTAAGCTTGAGCTCTCCCAAGACAGTCTACTCTACCTCTCTGAAACTCAGTCTCTTCATTTGCGATGGGGACATGAGCACCTTGACACTTCACCTGATGAGATGGCCTGAAAGATAGGCATATCTATACCTATGAGACCACAGCATGTGCTACCCACATGGGCTAGTTGTTACTATTTCATTCACAAGTCCTGTGCTTCCCACTCAGTTTCTGACAGAATTCTCACCACAGGCAACTTTTTCCGAAGCTCCTTCCGCAGGATCCCGTCATTGAGCAGCACAAGCAGGTTAGAGGCGGAGTACACTGAGGGGTGGAGTGTGGCCTTGAGAGGCTGGCTCTGCAGCCTGTAACCCCCAACTCCCCAGGGCTGCAGGGATCACCTGTGACCTACTGTGCTCAGCCACCCACAGACTATGTGGAAACCAACCTGCCTCCCCGCTCACTTGCTCAGAGCTCCATGCTCCCCAATATGATCTCCTGTGGGCAGCTGGAACAAGAAAGGATGGTCTGATCTCAGTGACAAACCAGCTACTGCCCTGCTGGATATCACTGATCATCCAGCTGCCCAGAATGGCCCATCATGCTCTACACGGCCATGGATGTGTGGTCTCACCTCCTGGCCTTTGCTCTCTCTGCAGACTGTCTCTGAAAGTCTACTCCATCCCTACCTTTCAAAACCCAATTCAACCTTTCAAGACTGTCATGTCCAATACTCATGGGGCAAATACTACTGAGGCCTTTACAGTCTGGGGATCCTGTAGTCTGGGAGGTCTAGATTTGAATCCTGGTTCAGGGATCATCAGTGGCTGCGCCCTAATCTCATGAACTTCTGTTCCTTTAAATGGACACTTAGAACAATAATAGGACCCACCTCATATGACCATAGGATCGATCAACTGAGCAAAGGCAGAAAAGGTGCTTGGCCCAGCCTCCTGGCCAGTCAAGACCTCCAGACTTGTCTCTCGACTATGGAGACATGGGACTATGGAGACATGGAGGGCCCAAGAGAGTAGACGCTGGGCCTTTGACTCCATCACAACACAGCACAACACAGAACGATTTAACGGGAGGCCTAGAACCGCGAGCCAGGGTAGTCACCCCTTCTGGAAGCCCTCCTGGTCCTTCCCGCCCCCCAGCCACCCCAGTGCCCAGCTCACCCAGCTCTGACAGCTCGTGGGAGTCGGTGAAGCGACCTGGGGAGAAGGCACAGAACGAGGCATCGGTGAACATTTGTCTCACCCTGAGGCTTCAGGTCATCGGACGTCCCCTCCCTAGGTCCTATGAGAACCTGGAAGGAACTTCCCAAGCACAGCCATCACCACCCTAATTCCAAAGGGAAGGGGGCCCGTGGGGTCAGAGGTCAGAGCCCCGAAGGGATGGGTCAAAGGTCAGGGTGGCACCTGCTAGCAGGTAACTGAGGCCCCGCACTGCCGTCTCCAGCTGAGCCGTGGCGGCCGGGTGACGAGTCACGTACTCCTGATAGCGAAGGCCCAGGAGCCGCAGCTTCTCCATCCCGGCCTCGAAACCAACAGATTCACAGCCCGACACTACGACTGGCTGCAGCGCCTTGTTGCCTGAGCCCTCCTTCCTCCTTCCGGCCCTAGACCCGCCTCTCCGTTGGTTAACTTCCGTGAGCCAGAAGGATGGTGAGGTGAACGGCCATTGAACCACCCTTCACCCCATTTCTTAAGTCACCTCCCATTTAGGGGTAGCGCTTAGCAACTGCGGGCCTAATCCCGCCCTCCCTGCTCCTTCAGGTCTAGGTCTGGCTAACACACTCTCCTCCTGATCCACTAACGCTGACTGAGCCGGGTTCTTCCGCCTTCCGGTTTGGCCACCCTCGCGCTTGCGCAGTTAACAGCTCCAAGAGCGCTCCCGCAGTAGTCTTAAATTCATTCTAGAGCAGGGAATAGAAGCTTAGTTTTTTTAATAGAACGCCGAGAGGCTCGAACAGAAGGCCCGGACTTTAAAGGGCTGGGAGGTAGCCCGCCTAAAGGAACCTTGTTCACATTTCGGAAGGACCGGTAAGAGACTGAGGACTCCCGGTCTGTGTCTCGGCAGGCGTGCCTTCAGCCAGTTGCCTCCTCTCACGTAAGGTACAAAGCTAGTGCTGGGGAAACTAACCAGTCCACTCTCTCTCCCACACAGCCTCCATCAACTTGACCTGTAACCCTGGCTTCGGCCCCGGCTCCCAGGTGTACTGTGTCCTCCAAGAGCGCGAACCCGCACTCCCCACTCCGCGGAGAAAACCTGGCCGGGACTTCTGCTCTCAACTCGGGGTGACCTTGGTTGGGTGTTTCCCTTCCCTGGGCCTCTAGTTTCCCCACTTGTAAAATGGTTTGAGGGCAGACTTGGTCCTTGAGCCCAGGATCAGTCTCAAAGCGTTTTTCGGCCCTCGGATGCACCTCCCGATCCTCAGCTGCTCCCAAAGAGTTGGGGAGACTCCTGCGGATACCTCCCCAAACTGGGAAGCTTTCTCGAATGGGCGGCGGCGGGATAGAGCGGACAGAGGTGGAACACTCAGAGGAGGCAGCCCCTGATTGGCTGTGGGAAAAGGGGCGGGACATAGGTGGGCTGAGGGGCGGTGCCGTTGGGGACCTGACCCGCAGGTTTAGGTACCCAGAGAATAATGGTACGTTGTTTTACTTAATCCCCTCCATTTAAGGATCCGTTTAAGAATGCCCAGTCAAGATTCCAATACTAGCAATTTACTATAATTAACAAAAAAAGATTTCAATCTTGGTCTAGTCTTGATAAGGAAAATATTCAACACAGCCGTCAGGGTCAGTAAACCACTTTTTTCCTCCCGTTGGCAAAGTCAGCAGAGCACCCCCAGCTGTCTCCTCCCCTCTTTCTCTGGGCTCTTCTTTTGCCCTGCTAATGCCAAAATGCCACACATCAAAATAATATAAATTGTTCCCCTTGCTTGTGCTTAGGGCTCAGACCTTGGGAGATTACTCCCCTCTGAGCCCGCCGGTGTAAAATAAAACCTCAACACTCCAAGACCTCCGAGTGCCACTTGGTTCTTCCATCAGTGATCCAGTCCAGGTTTTCCAGTATTCTCCATCACAGTCTGATCACAGAATCAAGGCATTTTCGGCAACATACCTAATGGGGAAGCCACAAGGCCCTCCTTGCCTCCCTCCACCTCCTCCCTAGCTTAGTTTTTTTTTTCTATATGGCATGGGGAATCATAGCTGCCCTCCCTACTCATGCCACAGAATGATGGCCCAGGGAGATATGTCCAGGAGCCTCAAGAAAAGCAAAGGTCTTGGAGAACAGAGCTGATGGCATGGGCATCATCAACTTCCTCTTTCACCACCTCCTGGGTACAGGCTCACTCATACTCTACTCCTCCAGCAACCTTGCCAGCTTGGTGTGAACTTTATCACAGATGGGGAATAAGAGGCCCAAGTAGGGGAAAGGACTTGTCCCAGGTTAGACAGGGTGCCATTGGCCAAATAGACCATGATAAGGGCCTCCAGTTGACAGTGCCCTCTCTCCTATAGCAAGTAAAAGCAGTGAAAAGTTGAGGCCACTTGGTCATGAGTGAAATTAGCAACTGGGATTAAGACCAGGGCTCAGGGCATTCAGTGTGGGGCTCTTTTCCCCTTCCTCCCTGTACCCCATTGTCTTAATGAACTTGTCCCCCAAATCTCACCAGTGGGAATTCCTCCAACCCCTCCCTCCGAAGCTGTGGAGGGAGTGAGGGGTGGGTGGGTGTGAGGTTTTGATAGTACTAGTGCTGGGGAGAAGAAAGAGGTGTGGAGGACAGAGGAGCAGCCTCCCACACACACAGTATGAGGGCCGCTGTGGTTGGAGCCTGTTTCTCCTCCCTCCCTTCAGGCCTGGGAGAGGAGCATGGGCCCTGCCAGGTTGGCAGCTTTAGGGCTGCCTGAATTACCTATCCAGATCCTGAGTCTGATTAGGTTCCAGAGACAAAGAGTGCTAGTGTGTGCAGAAGGTGCCCAGGGAAGCCCCTCCCTACCCGGCCCTTGCCTGGAATTGGTCACCTGGCTTGGCCGGAAGGGCCTCTAGGCAGGTTGGGCCAGATCCTCCCTCCTTCATTCTGCCTGGAGCCACAGGGGAACAAAGCTGGATCAGTCCAACAGGTACAGATGAGGACACTGAGGCCCAGAGAGGGGGCCTGACTTGTCTAAGCTCACACAGCCTGGACAGAGCTGGGCCAAACTGGGTCTCAAGCCTAAACAACCAGCACCTTTTCACATGCCCACACCTGTTTCCCTTTCTCCCCCAACACCCTTGAACTTCTTAGAGGCCCAGCAGGCATCTCAGCACTACAGTCTACCCTGAGTGGGTTAAGTTAAGCAAGGTGCAGGGTCAGCATTGTGAGTGACCACAGTGAGGTCTGCAAACCCAGTTCCTGGCACAGACCCCCTGGCCAAGCCCTATGTACTATACCTGCTCCCTCACATTTACTCCATATACTCTACTAAAGGTCTTGGGGAGGGATTCACCCACCCCCACCCCAGCTCCAGCCTAGAGATGAGGGTCAGGTGTCCTGGAGGCTCAAAGTTCCAGAGGCCCGGATGGCCCCTGCTTTCCCTTATCTCTTCTTAATCTCTAGATGTGCAAGGAGCTGCCACCAGTCTCCATGGCAAACGTTGCCCCTGGCCTCCAAAGGACCACAGCCCAACCTTCCTTCAGACCCCCATCTTCCAGAAAAAGGCATCTGGCATCTTGGGAGAGGAGATTTGAGGGGTTGTAAGGGTCTCAGCCTGGGCCGTTTTCCACAGCTTCCTTTGGGGTTGGGGCCTTTCAGGACCCTATTTTTATAACTGAAGTTGGGCTAAAGGGCCCCTGGCACAGCGAGGTACTGGAAGGCTTCCAGCACATACTTAGCATTGGGTCTGTGCTGGGCCCTGGCTGGGCACTGGGGACCCAGCACAGGGCAAGACAGGCAGGGCCTAGTCCCAGAGCAGCTACCTTCTGGGGGTGGGGGAGCAGGCTATAAACAAGTCAACAAGGTCAACTTTGAAGAAGTGCTGGGAAGAAAACAACCCAAGGGATGTGGAAAGAGGAGCCAGCCATAGGAAAATCTTGGCAGAGTTCTGGCAGAGGGAACACCAAGGGCAAACCCTGGTCAGGAAACCCTCAGGGAGGAGCAGCAGGAAGCTTTGCCTGAAGGGTAGAGGCTGGCAGGGGTCTGGGAAAGGGGCCAGAGGGTGTTCTAAACGGTCACTGCATCTCTGGGGGCAGTGGGGAGGAACGCCCATGTCACAGGACTGAGGGGAGTTAACTGAGGGCCTGGCGCTGGAGTGTATATGCTCAATCAACTGTGGCTGCTTTTTGTTCCCCGTCCAAAGTGCCCACCACTCGCTCCAGGGCCATGGTCTAGGTGGGGCCTGCTATGGGTTTCCACGTGGATAGGTAGGAAGAAGAAATCCAGGCCGGGCACAATTGTACAGGTCCAGGCAAGGGTTGGGGATCCCCAGCCCTGCCCAGGAGGCCCAGGCCAATGGCGTCATTGAGGCCCCTCGCCAGCTCCGGGGCAGGAGGCGACTTTCAGGAGGACGCTTTGTCTGGGCTGCGCCAGAGTCATCGCCAGGCGGGCCGGATCACCTGGACTTAGCCGAGGTGGAGCAGATGGGGGAGCAGGGGTTTCCAGGTGCTCCACAGCACCGGGCAGGTCTCGGCCAGCCCCGCCTCCCGTCCTCGGGGCAGGTGTCTCCAACCCCCGTCGCCCTGCTTTCCAGCCTTTTCCCCCTTACTCCGGCCATCCCTTTGATCCCGGGCTCGCGGTCACGGACCCCTCCTTCAGGGGCAGGTTAAGGGGAGGAGTCGGAGCTCCAGAACACGGAAGAGGGGGATGGGCTCAGAGCAGGTGGCAGGGAACGAGCCTTCCTGGGAGGTTGCTCCCGCTCCCTCCAGCCGTCCCATGGTATCCGGGGGTCCGTCCTCTCCGGCTGCTGGAGGAGGGCGTCGGATCCCGGGGAAGGAGGCGGGCCAAACCCCCAGGGGTCTCCCCGCCCCTTCGGGTTCAGTCAAGCGGAGGTGAAACCTGAACTCTGGTTGGGGGCGGGGCTGGCTCTTTCGCCGACAGGACTGGCCTGCGCCTCCATTCCCGTTTTCCTTCTACCCCTCTTTTCCCTGCCCCCGGGCCAGCTTCTGAAAGAGTAAAGTCGGGGTCCTAGAGCCGCTGGAGCAGGTGAGGTGGGACTCAGTGCGGGAGGGAGGAGCGGGCGGCCGTCGGGCCCTGCCGTCCGAAGCCGACCCGCTGCTCCCCTTCCCGCGTGCACAGGGCCGGCGATGGAGCCCGAAGCCCGGGGGCGCTCCCCGCCCTGAGGGCCCCCGCAGGTGGCCATGATGCCCCGAGGGCGCCCCCGGGCGCTGGGGGCAGCCGCGCTGCTCTCGCTGCTGTTGCTCCTGATTGGATTCTTCCTGTTCCGCGGGCACCCGGAGTGTGAGCGCTGCGACCTGGGAGGCGAGGGGGTGCTTAGGGATCCTTGTCCTGTCCGCTGACGCCACGTGTCCCTCCAGACGGGCGGCCGCATGGGGTTGCTGCCCTGGAAGGAGACCCACCAGCGGACCATAGGGGCCACAACAGCTCGGACTGCGTGCCTCCGCGGCCGCTGCTGCCCAAATGCGAGGTCAGTGCGCGGCCCCTGACGACGGGAATCTCGGGCGCCGCTCCCCGAGCCCAGCCTTCTGGGCATCTGAGGGAATCACATTACCAGGCACAGGCTCCGGCACTGACCAGCGCTTCGGGTCTCACCTGCTCTGCTCTCGGCCTCAGTTTCCCCAGAAATGAGGGGTTGGACCCCCGCAGCCACCACCACTCTTCCCTAACTCTGATGCTGGGGTGGGGCTACACTGCCATAGACCAAGGGTCCTCATGTACTGGAGCAGGGAGCTGCTGCTGACCTTTCTGTGCTCCCCCACCCCTCAGCTCTTGCATGTGGCCATCGTGTGTGCAGGACATAACTCCAGTCGAGAGGTCGTCACCCTGGTGAAGTCCATGCTTTTCTACAGGTACAGTCGTGTGTGTGTGTGTGTCATGGGCGGGTAAGGGTGCAGGGTGGTCAAGAGTGGGTAAGGTAACAGTCTCTGGCAAAGTCTTGAGTTCCCTGCTGGGATCTCAGAGCTCTAGCTCCCCCATTCCTGACAGTGTCCCCTTCCTTCCTTGAAGGTGGTTGTAAAAATATCCTGAGCTGGATATGGAAAGGCTCTTTGCAGAAGTTGGTGCTTTCACTTCTGAGCCCCTCAGGGTGGGCTTGTCTCATGTTGTTCCTTGGACAGCCTACAGCTTTCCGCCTCTGTCCTTCCCAAAGGAAAAATCCACTGCACCTCCACTTGGTGACTGATGCTGTGGCCAGGAACATCCTGGAGACACTCTTCCACACATGGATGGTACCGGCTATCGGGGTCAGCTTCTATGATGCTGATGAGCTCAAGGCAGGAGCCCTGGCCCTTTTGTATACCTTTCAGCCATCCCAGCCCTCTCCTTCCTCCCAGGGTTTAGGGGGCAGAGGAAGGAGAGGTTAGAGTTGCCAGGATCCCCAGGCACATCATACTTAAGTTCAAATCCCTCACCCCTCTGGAGCTCACTCCTCTGCTGTGCTCAATGCCCTGTCCTTCCCATCTACAGACCCAGATCTCCTGGATCCCCAACAAGCACTACTCTGGCCTCTATGGGTTAATGAAGCTAGTGCTGCCTGGGGCCCTGCCCCTTGACCTGGCCCGTGTCATTGTCCTAGACACAGATGTCACCTTCACCTCTGACATTGCAGAACTTTGGGCACTCTTTGCCAACTTTTCTGGTGAGAGGCCTGGGACCCCATCCCACCAGCCCCACTCCCTGGCCTGTCCAGGCCCCCTGTTGCCTAGCCCTGAGCCAAGGTCCTGTGGCAGCCTCAGGCAATTCACTCATGCCCTCCCTCCCAGACAAGCAGGTGATCGGTCTTGTGGAGAACCAGAGCAACTGGTACCTGGGCAACCTCTGGAGGAACCATAGGCCCTGGCCTGCCTTGGGCCGGGGATTTAACACAGGTGGGGACAGTGGTGGGGGGCATGCAGGAGGGGTGGCCTGAGGCACTGGGCAGGGCACAGAGTGCTGGGAAGCCCCTTACGAAGCATAGTGCTATGGAAAGAACACTGCGAGAAGAGCCAGTTCCAACCTTGGCTATTGTGCTGGATGGCACTGGCCAAATCACTTGGTCCCTCTGAGCCTCAAGTTTTCTCATCCATTAAACACGGGTGATTTTACCAGCCCTAGGGGTACCAAGTGCAAGAAGATGGCCATAGAGATGTTCTATAAGCTGTGTACCTCCCCTTACTCCCAAGAGGATTGACGGCAGTCAAATAATAACAATAAGTCAAAAATAAAAAAATAAACCTTATGACCGCTGGCTCCAGGAGCTAGGTCATCCCAGGTGGGCATGACAACCTCTCCCCATGGGCAGGTGTGATTCTCCTGTGGTTGGACCGGCTCCGGCAGGCTGGCTGGGAGCAGATGTGGAAGCTGACAGCAATGAGGGAACTCCTCACCCTGCCTGCCACCTCTCTGGCTGACCAGGTCTGTGGGAGCCTTTGAAAGGAGAGGTGGGGCAGGCCCAGGGCCAAGGAGTGATGGCTGTCTCTGCCCAGGACATCTTCAATGCTGTAATCAAGGAGCACCCAGGGCTGGTGCAGACCCTGCCCTGTGTCTGGAATGTGCAGCTGTCAGACCACACACTGGCTGAGCGCTGCTATTTGGAGGTGTCTGACCTCAAGGTGAGTGGGGCAGGGGGCTGGGGGCTGGTGGTGGTGCAGGGCCAAGGATGGGGACTCCTGCTGCCCGCTCCCATTCCCCCACCAACACTCTCCTGGGCCCCAGGTGATCCACTGGAACTCACCAAAGAAGCTGCGTGTGAAGAATAAGCACGCAGGATCCTTCCGAAACCTCTACCTGACCTTTCTGGAGTATGATGGGAACCTGTTGCGGAGAGAGCTCTTTGGGTGCCCCAGCCCACCCCCACCTGAGGCTGAGCAGGTGAGGAGCACCTTCCCTTGCCATGGGGAGGCTCTGCTCCTCTCTCGGGTGGGACCTGGCCCTGTCTGGGGACTGTCCTCCTGCTCCAGCCCTGCCCCTCCTCTCTCCTGGCCCCCTCAGTTGCAGCAGGCCCTGGCACAGCTCGATGAGCAAGATCCGTGCTCTGGGTTCCGGCAGCAGCAGCTCAGTGTGCACCGTGTGCACATCACCTTCCTGCCCCATGAGCCACCACCCCCCAGGCCCAATGATGTTACCCTAGTGGCCCAGCTCTCCATGGACCGGTGAGGGTACTGAGGGCAGCCCCAGGGAGCATAGCCTGGGCTGGGACTGGGAATTTCTGAGAAGAGGGCTTCATTTGGTAGAAGAGCTCTCACTGTCTAATGCTTGAGGAGTTCCTGAAGTTGGAGACGCTGGGTATGGTGGAAAAAACTTGGGCTTTGGGAGTCATTCAGGCATCTGGAACTGCTCTTCATAGTTGTGAGACCATGGGCAAGTCTTAATCTCCCTGGACCTCAGTTACCTTATCTGTCAAATGAGGGAGTAACCACTTTGTCAGGGTAGTTGTTAAGGTTAAGAAAGACCTGCTCAAAAAGTACTTGGAAGGAGCTAAGTCACTTACCGGGGTGCCCACAGCAGCTAACCTGGGGAGGCATTCCAGCCCTCCCTGGGCTGACCACCTCCATCACCCCAGGCTACAGATGCTGGAAACACTGTGCAGGCACTGGCCAGGCCCCATGAGCCTGGCCTTGTACCTGACAGATGCAGAGGCCCAGCAGTTCCTACATTTCGTCGAGGCCTCGGTGGTGCTCTCTGCCCGGCAGGACGTGGCCTACCATATGGTTTACCGCGAGGGTCCCCTCTACCCTATCAACCAGCTTCGCAATGTGGCCTTGGCTCAGGTCCTCACGCCGTATGTCTTCCTCAGTGACATTGACTTCCTGCCTGCCCACTCCCTCTATGACTACCTCAGGTAGGCCTGAGGGAGAGGAACGGTGTGTGGGGGGTGTGGCAGGGTGGCAGGCACCTGCAGGACCCAATGCAGTGTGTCCCAGCTCCTTTCTGGGCCTCAGTATTCTCCCTGAAATGGGGTTCATATTTGGGCAGGAGGGCCACATTGTTTCTCTGGGCTGCCACAGGAGAGCAGGGGAGGCTGGAACCTGCTTCCCATAGCAGCTACACTTGTGCCTGTCTTCTACAGGGGGGGTCAGGGTGAGCTTGACTTGGAAAGTTATGCCACTAAGAAAGTAAGCAAATCACCAGGTCCAGAGCTGGAAACAGTCTTCTGTTTTCTCTCCTGTCCACAATACACCTTCCTCAGGGCCTCCATCGAGCAGCTAGAGCTTCGCAGTGGGCGGAAGGTAGCTCTGGTTGTGCCAGCATTTGAGACCCTGCACTATCGCTTCAGCTTCCCCAGTTCCAAGGTGGACCTGCTGGCCCTGCTGGATGCTGGTGCTCTCTACACCTTCAGGTGGGGGAAGCCACTGCTCTACTCCCCTCTGTCACCCTCTGCCCCCCAATGAACTCCTAGCTTCAGCTTGGCTCCTTGCCCTATCCTGCTCCACAGGTACCATGAGTGGCCCCAGGGCCACGCACCCACAGACTATGCTCGCTGGCGGGAGGCTCAGGCCCCGTACCGTGTGCAGTGGGCCGCTGACTATGAGCCCTATGTGGTGGTGCCGCGTGACTGTCCCCGCTATGACCCCCGATTTGTGGGCTTTGGCTGGAATAAAGTAGCCCATGTCATGGAGCTGGATGCACAGGTGAGGGAGTACTTTGCTGCCTCCAACTTCAGTTTGAACACCTCCAGGCCCAGGGAGCTCACTGTACCAGCCCAGTGTGACACACTGTATCAGTAGGCAGCCCTTTTACAAATTCCACACTTCTGTAGAACGAAAACTAAAATTGCCTGCCTCCGGGCCCTTGCTTTGGCTTTCAGGGGCTACTGAATAAGCCTGCTCCCATCCCTGGAGCTGCCATCTTCCCTAAGCTCAGGCAATGACTGTCCCTCTGCCCCTACCTCCACAGGAGTATGAGCTCCTGGTGCTGCCCGAGGCCTTCACCATCCACCTGCCACACACCCCAAGCCTTGACATCTCTCGCTTCCGCTTCAGCCCTACCTATCGTGACTGCCTCCAGGCCCTCAAGGATGAGTTCCACCAGGACTTGTCCCGCCACTATGGGGCTGCTGCCCTCAAATACCTCACTGCCCTGCAGCAGCCCCAAAGCCCCACCTGACCTTAGGCTGGGCCTGCACAGTTCACCCTTACCCTTTGCCTTGGCTCTTGTGCACACTCCATGAAGACATTGGGGCAACCTTGCTGCCCTTCTCACCAGCCCTGCTATGTAAATTATTTAAGTCTCTGTGGGAAGGGCTGCAGTGGAGCACCTGTGAGTTGGGTTTTAGGGACTTCCCTTGCTGCTATCTATGCCTGGGGTCTAGTCTCTGCCCCCACTGGTTTGGGGCTCATTTCACCATCCCCAGCTCTACATCCCCTTTTCATAGTTAAAGTTTTAAAAGCACTTTTTCATGTTCCCCTTGGCTTGGGGCATGAGGGCATCAGTAAGCCCTGGGAGGTGCTGGTATCACTAGGGTCACTGGAGGGCCTGGCCATCCCCTGGAGGATGACTGGAATATGTCTTGTCCACCCTTCCCCTGCCCCAAACCCATCATCATGAGGCTGAGAGACTTTATTTGGCTTTATTTAGTAAAATGTTAAAATAAATAAATACAAATTGATCAGCTGCTCTGTATTCACCCCCCACCCCACCCCACCCACCTGCTCAAAACAAAAATCAAACAAACAAAAACAAAAACTTTGAAGCACAAAACTCCAAATACAAGTTCTACCAAGACTGAAATCACAAAGGGTGTGGACAAGAGACAGGATTGGGGGTTGGCTGGCTCTTTTCTGCTCAGAGCTTGCTGACTTCTGACTGCCTGTCCTATCCTGTCTGACTACAGCTTACCCTGGGCTGAGGGCCCAGTGACCCTGGCCAAGTGCAGGGCCCAAGCTGCTGTGGGGGACAATGGGGTCCTCAGGGAGGCAGGAGCAAAGCAGAACTTAGGAGCCCTGCCATCCCTCTACAAGGGCTATTTTTTAAGAGCTCCACCCTGGCTCTCTGGAGGGGATAACCCCCAGCTTCCTCCCTTTTACTCTTGGGGGAGGGCCAGAAGAATCTTCCCTGGGGCCACCCCCTCCTCTCCTGGAGGGTAGCTGACTCTGAGAAAGGCTGTAAGTCAGTGTGACTATGGGTGTCCTGTTTCTTGCCAAGGGTGCCCAGCTGAAGGGTGGGGGTGAGGCTCGCAGTCATTTACACAGAGCAAAGCTGCCTCCATCCAACAGAAGCCTTGGAATTTGGAGAACCCAGGGTTTGGAAGATGTACTTGGGCCACCATCCATCCTATTATCTGAAGAGACTTTTGCCCCTGGGGTAAAAGTCTCCTAAATTAATAAGCCCTTTGTATAAATAAGAAAGACCACACCCTGAAAGGGAGTGAACGGAGGAACCAGTTAGAATGTGTTGTGTGGGTGAGGAGTGAGAGCCCAGGGAGGCTGCTGGCTTCAAGAGAGGAAGTACCAGAAATGACTGGAGAGGCAACTATGTGCAGAGACAGGTAAGCTGGAAACCCAGTTGCCCTCATGGAGAGGTGTCGGGGAAATGCTGTGCCCCTTCCCACTACCTGCTGAGCCTGAGCCAAGAAGCATTGGGGACAGAGGCAGGCCCTCTAGGGAGACCGGGCACTCGGATGGTGCCAGCTGGAGGCTGCCATGGCCATGCTACAGGCCCTACACAAGGGAAGCCCCACTAGGGGCTGCCCCAAGCTGGGTCTCCTTGCCAGCAGGCTTGCCCCAAAGGACCTGATAAGGAAGAAACCAGAATTCTGGATGAGCTCAGCAGAGGTGAGCAAGACCCAGCAGGCTCTGTGGAAGAAAAGGCCTGTGGTTGGCACTGCCACGAATGCAAGCTGGGAAGATGATGGCAACGTGACAACACCGCCTCTGGGGTGCAGTGCCTGAGCTTGGTGCTGACAGGGGGCTTCTGACTAAGGGCCCTGTGGGCAGCCTCTTCCTAGTCCAGCTGCTCCCTGGCCTGAAGTGACTACAAAGCCAACCGGTCTCAGGTATGTCCGCCAGGCATGGGAAAAGAGCCACACATGGAAGCAGAAGAGGGTGGTGGAGGCAGCTCAGGCGAGGCAGTCTTTCTCAGGTGGTCACAGGCACCCACAAGCCTGGGGAGACAGACACGATCGATCGTCTCTGGGCAGAACAGCGAAGCAAGAGACTGGATGACCAGAGCCTTTTCTCTGCAGTAAGGAAAGTTCTGGAATTTGAGTCCAGAATGAGGGTTTGGGGGTAGGATTGATTTTGTATTGCATACTAGCTCACACCTGAGCTTCAGTAAGGATCCATATCCCAACCTTAGACAAGGTCAGAGTGTGAATGCTCACGGCAGCAGGCAAGACTTAGCTCTGCCTCCACCCGCTGCCCCAGCCCCAGACTCCTCAGGCAGCTCCTTTCTGAGCAAAGGCCTCAAGTGATGGTACTTTCTAACTTCTTTCAAGAAAAGATGGATATTATGCAGCCACCCCCAGCCTCTATGCCCAGATAAGTCAAATGGGAGAGCTCTAAGACAGGGCCTACAGCCCACTGCTGGGTTCTGAACCACTGCCAGCTATTCCTCCAACTAGTGCAGGCATCGCCAAATCTCCCTGACTAGACATAGCACCTTGGTTTCTGCATGAGAAAAGGGAGCTCCTCTCTGTCCCCCAGAGGCAACCAGTGCCTGAATCTGAGGCCTGTGCAGCCACTCTTAATCCCCTCTTCTGACATCCTTGGGAAGCTGAATGGAGAGGGCTGGTAGATGAGACAGATGTTACCTAAGAAGTGTCTCTCAGTTTCAGGATCCATCTTGGTCTCTCTGAGCCTCCCTGAATGAGGGAGAAACCAAGGGGAGCTTTTCTGCCCCTTCTAAACTCTGGCAATTACAGGGCATGGGGCAGGCTTGGGAGAGATGGTCTGGGAGGGCTGGGGTGCAGAGCCTCTGCCTCCCTCTGTTGGCCAGGTATGTGCAATGGGCAAAGGCCTCCAGTGGAAGCACAGATCTGACAAAGTTTATTTCTTACAAGGCAAGATGATAGCAATGGTCTAAGCCTTTCCGAATGTTGGTTTTCTTAAGAAGACAGGCCAAGCCAAGACAAACGCAGCAGTTCTGACTAAAGGTCACCCAGGAAGTCTGTGGGTGGACAAAATGGAGTAAACTCCCTCTCTGGTACCTAGAGCCTGCAGGCAGAGAAAGCAGATGGAGATTTAGACCTCTCTTCAAAGGCAAGACAGACAGGAAGGCCACCCAGGGGCTCTCTGTCTCAGAGACATCATGTACCTCAAGACACATCACTCCTCCTTTGTTCTTTCTAAGCACCAAGGACTGATGCAGACAGCCTGCCCCCTGCACCCTCCTGCCAAGGCCAGGTGCATGGGCACCAGTGAGCTTCACTGGCTATTTCCTTCAGACTTGTCCCCCAGGCACTCATAATGCTGGTGGCTGAAAGACCGAGAACAGCACCAAAGAAGGGATCTTATTTAGGCACCAGCCTTTTGCTCTAGCAAAATCCGAGGAGACAATGGGTAGGGCCCTGATACCATCCACACTCCATTTGGGCTTCAAAAACAGGAGTCCAGATCCCTGCACCAAGAAGAGAGGACAGTCTTTCTGAGGAGGGGAGAACACGGGGAGGGCTCCAACCCTGCCCACAGGCTGCAGCACCTGGAGGACAGAAATCGTGGAGACTAGCCCACCAGTCTCGAGACACAAACACAGCAAAATGTCATCATGATCAGCAGGTTCTGTGCTAAAAAATTATAACTACACAGCATTTTCTCCAGTTCTGACACCTTTTTAATAGAAATCACTGTTTTTAGGAAACAAATAGCACTTTTGTAATTTTTTTTACAATGTTTCTTACCTTGATCTTAAGTAACACTAGGAAGACCTCAATATCCTTTATTTTCCTTTTTAATTTAAAAAAAAAGTTGTTGTTTTCCCCAGATACAAAGATTTTTGCCCTTGCATAAAAAAAAAACAGTGCCCCAAACGATGACACAAGGACTCACACAGACTCACTGGACCTCACTGACACTATGACGCCTATTCTACCATGCAAGGTCTCGACTACCCTTAATTGGACTGTCAGCCTGAAAAACAGCTTTTCTATTCCATATTTTAGTTTTTGTTACCAAAAAAGTAAAATAAAGAACAAAATAAAACTTTAAAAGAAAAAAACAAAACCAAAAATTTTTTAAAAAGGGAAAAGAAATGTCTCCATTAAATTCACACACACCTGGGTTGTGTGCTGCTTTGCTCAGTATCTTCTCTTCTTATAAATATAGAAAAGGGATGGAGCTTGTTTTCAAGTAAAATCACCGATCCACCTTCAGTTCCTTCCCCAATACACACACCCTTCTTCCCTGCTCCCCGGCAAGGGCCCCGGGAGGCAAGCTCAGAGGCAAGGCGGCTCTGCTTGTTCTCAGGGAAGGGAACGGGTCACTCACAGGATGTGTGCCCATTTGCCAAAGCAGGGAAGGAACTTTGGGAGCGGGGTTGTGGGGGGCCCATGGCGGAGGAGCAGAGTGCTTGAGAGAAGAACCTGGTGGCTTTTCTTGGTGTCCATCTCTCCGTGCACCATGCCCCACCCCAGACAATATGAAATACTGCTTATTTGATTTACTTTTCCTGTCCCAGCTCCCTTCCATTCTCTCCCCATCCCTCCTCTGGGCACTAGGGTTGGTTAAATCTCAACTTCCTTTTTTTGGTTTTATAGTAGTGAAAGTTTAGAAACAGGAAAGCCCACACACTCTTTGGACTTGTCTTCTCTACCTCAACAAACGGCTCAGCAAATAAGGATCTGAAACCTGCTCTCCTCCCTCCGCCCGTCCCTGCTCCCCACCCAACAAAACAAAAACAAACCCATGGTGGCTGTGGAGGCTGCTGCAGGCACACACTGGTGTATAATAGAGAGAGTAAATATATTATTTCACTTGGCATGGTGCTGGCAAAGAACCTCCAGCTGGCACTATTTCATGTAACATGGTCCAATCTTTGCATGTACACACAGAATAAGAAGGATCAATTGGCAAACTCTGGTGCCCCCTGGCACAAGCATCTTCTCTCTCTCTGGAACCAAAGAACCAAAAGAATTCTGTACTTTCCAGAAGAAATCCGGCTTTGCTTTTCTAGAGTCTTCAGTGTTTGGCTCTCTTGGCTGCCGGGATCCCATGGCTGTCCCTAACAGGGCTGTTATTTAGTCTCTTCTCCCTGGTTACAGTTTGCTGTGCAGCTCTGGGAGGAGGGGGAAGGGGCCGGCGTAGAGGTGGCAGCGGTGGCAGGGGACGCACAGTCTGGGCCATTGGAGATGGCCTCCACAGTGGCCTCAGAGTCTACAGGTTTGGAGAGGTCAATGCCGTGGATGAGGCGGATCAACTGCTTTACCTTCTCCAGGGAGCTGTGCATCTCCTTCTGCCGAGCCAGGATGGTATTCTTCATTTCCATGCATTTCTGCAGCCAATGAGAAGGGCAGTGGCACTGAGCCTTCGTGGCCTTTCTGAAAGACCTGGAAGCCCTCTCTAGGAAAGGAACCCCTACTGGCCACTGTACAGCCCTAGACTTGCTTCTGCAACACAGGAGTGGGTGCTACAAAGAAGAGACCCAAGTGGAAAGCTAGACAGGGCAAGTGAGTGGTTGAAAAGCAGCTCTACTGCACACTAGGACTTAAGACTAAATGTAAATTACTGCTAGAATACGATAAAATAAGAGTCATTAAAAACAAAGTTCCCAGAGCTGTGCTGAAGTTGGCTAGGGCAGGTTTTGGTAGGCTTCTGCCAGGGCAATGAGTGCTAATGCGCTCAAGACCAGACAGCTTTCCAGGGTAGAAAAGAAGCCTGTGGTATCTGGATTCAATCTGAGTACCTACTGAAGATCATTTGGATAGCAAGAATGTAGAGGCAGAACCTGGGGCAGGTCAGTGATATTTAGAAGAATCAAACACCATAGCCAACAAAAGCCCTTCTGCTTTGATCATGGACTTTAGAGTCTTTTGCCCTTTTGCTCCCTGCCTCCCACACACCTGCTGGCAAATACAGAATCCCTGCTGATACAGGGATACAACCTCATTCCCACTGAACAGGTCAGGCTGTTCCAGGCCAGTATTTACTTCCAATACTTGTCTCTAGAAACCCCTCTTCCTCAGGCTGCTCAGGAAAACCTGGAAATGCTATCGGCAGGGTCTGGAAGAAAGGGCAGGAAGGGCCATGTGGATCAAACTACCAGCTAGGGTGACGAGAAAGAATCCCACACAGTAGTCTACTCTGCATCTGCCGCCATCAGGGGCTCCACACAACCTCCCACCAGGAGCACACAGGTGGGGACTAGACCTGCAGTTGGTACTTTATCTCTTCAGCCTGGAGACTGAAAATCCTCTCTCAGATCAAAGCTAAGAGAAGGTTCCAGAGCTTGGCTGAGGTACCATATTCCAATGGCCACCAGTTCCTGAGGGCCCAAACTCTGAAGCAAACTTTGCATCCACCCAGGTTAATCTGTGATAATAAACTGAAGGACCTGAATCAGCCCTGGGAGTGTATATACTGTTATGTACACAAAAAGTTCTGCATCTCCGTATCTATCACTCAATGCATGAGGTTTACTTACACTTATAGAATTGCTGAGCTGTTTCACCTTCTGCTCTAGTTGTTCTCGTTCTTGTTTTAAATCTGAACTCCATTTAAGTAATTTTTGTTTCTCTTCTTCTTTTGCTGAAACAAAACAAAACAAAAAAACAATAATTTTTTAAAATTTTGGTATCATTAATCTACAATTACATGAGGAACATTATGTTTACTAGGCTCCCCCCTTCACCAAGTCCCCCCCACAAACCCCATTACAGTCACTGTCTATCAGTGTAGTAAGATGCTGTAGAATCACTACTTGTCTTCTCAAAACCAGAATAATTTTGACAACAAATTACTTGAAAAGGCCAGTGGTCAGAAAGCTTGCCAAGAAGTCATTTTTACCGAGTTCCCCCCTGAGCCCCACAGCCACTGTACAGAACCAGCCCACCTGGACTTCCTTTTATATGCATTAAGTACATTAAGAAAATTCAGTGGATTGGGTCTGGCTTTACATAAATAAGATCCTACTTCTCATTGGTCCTCCTCAAGAAAGTACCATACAAACCTTTCACTTCATTCAATATTAACTTTAAATTTCCTTTTGAAAACAACACAAATACTGTCTTCCAGTACTTTTATTTTTTGAACAAGGGGAAATTTACACAAAAGGAGGTATGGATAATTCTTTACCTGCTTTGTAGGCAATATAGGAATGAACAATTGCTAAAGTTCCAGGCCATGGAATTGCTTCTTCCTTCTTTAGCATCTGAAAAGAGTTTTAGGATTTTACCTTGAGAAGGAGGTATAAACACACATTCTGTGTAATAACAAGCAATGTTTTCTTAGCTATTGGCAGACAACCAGGAAGCATTTATGGCGGCAGTGTTGCGAAGCCCTGGTCTATAGTTTCTGGACTACAAAGTTCCAAATAGCCTGAGAACAAGGTTCTGTAATAGCAGGAGCCAAGCCACATGAGCCCTGGCTTACAAAGAGGCTAAGCCTTGGCTGGTAATGCCTATCTTTTTACATATGCCACACGACTCCCAAATACTCCCACAGCCAGAACAGTTAGCACACAAACTGCAAGTATGCACGATGGCAGCATCTACTGGCAATTTTGTCCTTGACCTGACATGGGCTACCTGTCTCAACTTTAGCTTTAAATGTCCCACAAAGACAGCCTGACCAAGAAAATGAGGTATCAGCTCCAAATACTACAAGATAATCTATATCCTGTGTAGAAAATTATCTGAGGATCACAAAGCAGCATGAGGAAGAGAGCAGCACAGAGAGAAGTGTTTCTACTACATCAGGGAAACAGTAGGATGAGGACCAAGATTAAAAGGGGAAAAACCAGAATTCTCTCAAACAGGATTCCAAAGAATCCTAAGCTATTGGGCTTATTTATTTATTATTAACACCTTACCTAATTCCAAAAAGAGACAACTTGTAATAAAACATAAAGACACATGGACAGTTGAGAAAAAGAGATCAGAAACCAAACAGAGGAGGAGGGAAGAGGTTAACACAATTGATAATATGTCTGGCTTTCAAGTCCATGAAATATTATATTACAACAGCACTTTATAGTTAGTTCTCTGATCCTGATGATACCACAAATTAAAAGTGAAACTGTTGTTACTTACTTGAATTAAACAATAATTAGGAATCTTCCTTTAAGGATTTTATTTCCAAAGAGGAGTTTCAAAGTCACATACTGGGTTTGGGCCATTCTTAGAGACTGAGGCAGAAAGCCAGATGGACTTTTAAGAATGTAAGTCATTTCAAATAGGGGGACAGTTACTGTCTTGTAGTCACTGTTGTCACTGTCTCATGAACAGGACAGAGAACTTCTGAGAGGATGGATGCAGTGTGGGTGGGGGCTGTGCTGTGAAAAGATGTAGCCTAGAAAACTACCAGAGAGAAAAAGACTCAGCCATTCCCCCAGCTTAGAGGGGAAAGAAGTCCTTCTGAATGAGTGGTCTTCCTCTTCCCCATGCCTGAGCCACCCACAGTACCTGGTCCTGACATCTGGGACAGATCCACATGCCCTTTGGAATTGTTTTCAGAGGAGGGTCTAAGCAGTCCAGGTGATACACACGGGAACACGTGTCACACATCAGCAACTGGCCACTTTTTCTGCATATGCTGCAAAAATCCTCATGAATATCACCCTATGAAATTGAGAGGAAAGGTAAAAGAAGGAATAAAAAAGGTAAAATTTGAATGTTAACATGCATATTCTGGGTACATACGTGTTTTAGGATAATCAGCTGTGCCCCCTCCAATACTAGAGTATTCAAGAAAAGAATGAATTACTAATGGCACAAACCCCAACTGCTCCACAAAGCTGAGGTTCTCCAGGCAGGGACAGTATTCTCATTTTAAAGTAGGGTTTACAGGAAAGCTCTGTAGTCACCTGGGACAAAATTAACTTTACAGGTGATAGCTCAGCATATTAAGCTTTGATAGAGTCCAACCAACAAATTAGAAAGTTTAAAGACATCGAAATCCATTCATCAAAGTGTTTCACAATACAATACAGTTCAAACAATTATTACCTATCATTTTGGGGGAAGTTTAGAAGGACTGGGAAAGAAGACAGATAAGAAATGGAATTATACTAAACTCTTTACTTGCTCGGGGAGAGAAAAATACAGTGAAAGTTCAAGTGGGAAAAGATTAAGTCAGGAGCAAATTAAACTCCTATAAGATTTCCAACCTGAAGAATTTAAAAAGCCAAAGCAACAGCTGAGGATACTCTTAAAACTAGTATTTGGTATTTGCTGTTAAATGGACCATTCTATTTTGTGATGCTTTATTCCTCCCTGCAAAATACTTCACCAGACGGAAAAAGAAGAGCAGCCCCAGTGCACATTCTGCCTGTCTCCCCACCCCATCAGGGCTAGTTTTGGTACTCAGGTAAGTCTGCTGGAGCTCTCTGAACAGAAGGCATCATCAGAAAAAAAGTAGATCTACTTAAAATTTGGAGGGAGAACACCTGGAAAAAAAATGAGGTTTTTCAGCAAGTCAATCTCTGGCCTGATCTCTGAACAGGATTAATGCTGCTGATAAAGACACCAGGGATGGGAAGACTGAAGCAATGTGACATAGGTTAGAGAGCAAGGCATCATCACAGCTAGCAGCATACCCTTTCCACTTTTACTGTGTTGTTTTAGGTTTCTAGGCTATACTGTCAGAAGGCCTAATTGCCTAATTCTGCACAGAAAGCAATGACACAGAGAGCAATGCTCAAGTTTTCCTTTGACATAACCCCTCAGCCATCACCACTAGAAGGAACCCGTCCTCCCAGACCTTCTCTCTGAAGCAAAGGAAATATTCTCCATGATTCCCTAGGGTACTACCTAGCAGCAGAGAAAACTGGATGTAAAAAATTGTAAGATAATCAGAGTGTGGATGGATTTTTAATCTTTTTAGTGAAAAAAAGTTATCTGTGGGCAGTAAAAAAGATACTCAGTACACATGCAAAAATACTCAAGAGAATGCAGCCTCACAGTTCACCTTGAAGGCCTGGAAAGAGGTTAAGGTTTCATCCCTCAATTAAGTGTAAGATTAACTGTAACTTTTCAGTCTTAAAATCAGGCTAAGGGGTGTGTCTCTTCACTAGAGAGTTAGTTTTCCTTGAACCTTAGCCTCATGCTGTAAGTCTGCATCTTTATAAAGTTTACATGAATCACAGATAAAATTATCAGTGATGAAATAAATGAGACAAAACGGGGATCTTATTCTGAGGGCTTTGTTGGGTAAAGAGTTCTGATTACTTTCCTTTGCTCTTGAGTAAGGAGAACATCAAGAAGTGGAAGGCAGAGGGTACAAAAAATAAAGGTTAAATAATTTTAGTTTTCTAAAGGAAAGAAAACTTCCTATCCTATTATATTCTATAGCAGCAGTTCTTAATCTTTGTGGTATCAGGACTCCTTTACACTCTTAAAATTACTAAGGACCTCAAGAGCTTTTGTTTATTTGGGTTTTATCTATTGATATTTACTGTATTAGAATGTTTAAAACTTTAATTTTGAAATTATAGAATCATAAGAAATTACAAAAATAGTGTTATTAAAAAATTTTTAAACCCCAGAACATCCAAGTGCACAATTCATTAGCTATCAGAGAGATGACATCATCACATGTAATACAGTATCTGGAAAACCCACTGTTCATTCTTGAGAGAATGAGAATGAAAATGGTAATATTTTAGTATTATCATGAAAATAGTTTTGATTTTATGAACCCCCTGAAAGAGTCTCAAGGACCCCAGACCACACTTTTAGAACTATAGAGATGAATATAAAATGCAAAGACACATCTATTCATGACAAAAACTCTCAGCAAAATGGGTATAGAGGGCAAGTACCTCAACATAATAAAGGCCATATATGATAAACCCACAGCTAACATACTGAACAGCGAGAAGCTGAAAGCTTTTCCTCTGAGACCGGGAACAAGACAGGGATGCCCATTCTCCCCACTGTTACTCAACATAGTACTGGAAGTCCTAGCCACAGCAATTAGACAAAACAAAGAAATACAAGGAATCCAGATTGGTAAAGAAGAAGTTAAACTGTCAGTATTTGCAGATGACATAATATTGTACATAAAAAACTCTAAAGACTCCACTCTAAAACTACTAGAACTGATATCGGAATACAGCAAAGTTGCAGGAGACAAAATTAACACACAGAAATCTGTGGCTTCCCTATATACTGACAATGAACCAATAGAGAAATCAGGAAAACAATTCCATTCACAATTGCATCAAAAAGAATAAAATACCTAGGAATAAACCTAACCAAAGAAGTGAAAGACCTATACCCTGAAAACTGTAAGACACTCAAGAGAAATTAAAGAGGACACTAACAAATGGAAACTTATCCCATGCTCTTGGCTAGGAAGAATTAATATCATCAAAATGGCCATCCTGCCCAAAGCAATACACAGATTTGATGCAATTCCTATCAAATTACCAGCAACATTCTTCAAAGAACTGGAACAAATAGTTCAAAAATTCATATGGAAACACCAAAGACCCCGAATAGCCAAAGCAATCCTGAGAA